GTCCACACACATTGATGTGAGGTTGCATTTTGTGAGAGACATATAAGGGGTAGATTAAGGTGGAGAAGGTGCATACAAATTATAACGTTGTTGATATGCTAACAAAGTATTTACATGTTTCAAAGTTCAAGCATTGTATGGATTTGGAGAGCTGTTTTAATCAGTGCTAGCTTGGTAAGAACCTAGGATCCCGAGAGAAGAGAAGCCTATGTGGAGTAGGAGTCAAGGTAGAGAATTTTTATTCTATGACTCATATCCACATGTACAAGCCATGTGGATTATTATTTCCACATCATGACCTAGAAGACAAGAAATGTGAGTTGGAAAGTGCATGAAAGTTGTTACATTAGAAGACAAGATGGTGATGTTAGAGTAGGTGACCAACAAGCCAACTTTTGGCTGTGGTCTTTCGTATTTATTATGGTAATAAACGAACCTTTATTCGTATTAATGATAAAACACCTTGGCATTCTATATCTTTGTCCCTTTGTCACAAGCATAGATATAGTCCTTACAGTTATTACAAGTACTAGTAATTGATCGTTAGGATCATGAGATATTTACTTAAGTATTATAACTGTTAAACGTGTTCCTAGTCGAAGGGTTACGCCACCAATGAGGATATCGGCCTTTCCCATTAGAAGACTAGCACTTAGTGTATGTGTACTGCATCTCATCAGTAAACGGTATTGTGATATCGGCATGCATAAGTGGGTGCTCGTAAGTTGACGAGTTCACTGAACTCCCTCACCCTAGAAATCTCTAAGTGGTTCCCAATAATCGAGTAGAGATATCTATAGTATAGTTGTACACCATTAGTCCTTATGACCTAAACATCACCGTGACTTCACTAGAGGACCAGCTGTATCGTGACCTGTCCCTGAGTTCCACCGAGGACCATCCCAAGGGCCAGTGTTCGTGCAGTCCGAAATCTAGTGGGAGGTCTGTGCATTGTAGTCGGGGATTCGATCGCTAGAATAGTCTTGGATGTCCTGTGTGTTCTGAAAGTTTGTAATCATTCTAAGTCTCTGGCCAGAGCTGACTAAGTGATGATTAGAGAATTCGATTCTCTAAGTCATGCACGTAAGGATTACAACACTTAGAACGATCGCACCGTCATCGAACATATAAAGAGGTCTCGATGAACCAATGCCTCTAGTTCGATCGGGACATATGTATCGAAGGGACCGTACTGTACGTTAACTATATCTGAAGGTTCTTGCAGGCACTTCATTTGTATCTAGGGAATCATGACGCGTAGTTGCTAGACGCCAATCTTGATTCGTTGGGTGATTAAGGTGAAACGAGTTTCATCTTAATCGTAACTCTAAGGGGACGAGTTTTTACCACAAAGGGTTGTGGGCCCACGGCTAGCTTACACCTGAACCATCGAGGGTCACACTGCTCGTGTACATGAGATC